AGCGGAGAAATTGGTGAATGGATAGGAGAAATGGCGTGCTGCTTGTGCTTTCGGTGCCTTTTTCCAGAGGTGCCTCGGAGCGTTTTGAGCGCACTCGCAACGATTTAGGCTGCCTTGCATGATGTTTGTGCAGCAGCGCTCTCTTGGCATGCGTGCATGCGTGCATGCGAAGCCTCGACTCGCCATTCACACACACTACCCACTGTTGACTATGCTTGATGAATTGAAATGCTTCTACTTCATCGCATTCACACCTGCCTTAGCTCCCCTTCCAGCTTTCAATCAAGCTACTGCTTCAACGCAGTCACGAGTCACGAGTCACGAGTCACGAGTCACGAGTGTCCCGTGTAGCATGCGCGCGATACGTTGCGCGCCGCACCTTGACTAGCGCGTCCATGCCGCGTGCGTGGACAGATAGATGGATCAGCTGCAAGACGCCATACCTGCGTCGCATGCGTGCGCGTCACTCCTCACTCACGTCTCACGACCAAAAGGTACCGCACGCATCCAACACCTTCACTTTGCCACTGTCCAGCTGGTCTAGCTATTGTGATTGTGATTGTGATTCCTGCTCTCTCTCATTCACGTCCTCACACATCTGCAGATCCACACATCAGAATCATCATTGGGGCATTTACACCGCAGACTCACAGCCAGCTCTCTGTCGGATGGTTTTCCTCTTCTTCCTGACGGCCATGCTTTTGTTTTTTGTTTTTTTTTGTTTGCCAAGGACCGCAAGAAAGGCGCCGAGGTAGCATTCGCATTCGCATTCGCATTCGCATTTGTGATTGTGCTTCACGGCATGGACATCGTGTGTGTGTGTGTAAGAGTCGGGCTGCGCTGTACGGTATGATGGAGGGTGTGACACTCACACTCACGCTGTTCCATGTCTTGTAGTGTTCCCTACACTTGCACTTGCGCTTGCACCCTCACACTCGACGCCACATTACGCAGGCACGACAAGCGATTGTTCCTGACACACACCACTCCAGACTAGATTGCCTACCTGTATCGTCTGGCTCGCTTTTGAACCCGCGACTACTGCTGACCATAGAAGCTTGAATTCCAACATGTCCATCCTATAGAAACAGTCTTTTCATCTTCACCCCCTCGCTACATTACGCATTGCTCTGATCTTCACCAACAGACCACTCACCCTCCTCACCAGGCTCTCACCTCATCCCCTCATCCCCTCATCCAACCAGCCAGCCAGCCCATCATGTCCGAATTCCTCGCGCTGCCACCACACTTGCCCTCCACACCTCTCCTCGCTCGCCACATTCAAAATTTCTCAGAAGCGGCCAGCCTGCAACCTCACTGGGGTTATGCGGCTAGAGCCCTGCCATGCACAAACGATGCCGGATCCTGCGCTTACCTCGACACCGTCTACCGCTCCCATGATCTGGGCATGCTCTACGTCGGCATCTTTTGGGCTCTGCTTGTAGCTGTCCTCCTGCTCTACACCATTGCCCACCGCTGCACCATCACTGTGACTTCCACATCTCGAGGCGGTGGTCGCGATGGCGCTGCAGCTTCATCGCTCCAGCGAGCTGCAAGCGCAGCGCGCACATGGACCAGGAGCAAGCTGATGCCAGACATTCAAATCGCCTCGTTTCGAGCCACGCGTCAGCAAGTGCTCGTCTTTGCCATTCTCTTGGGCTACGTCACCGTCTTTACCTTTGTCGGCATCGTCTACCAAAAATGGGTCACGCCCGTCAAGAAGATGCCCGGCGTGTACAACACCAGGACCGGTCTAGGTCCATGGTCAGACAGGATAGGCGTCTGGGCATACGCCCTCACCCCCCTCTCCATCCTCCTATCCACGCGAGAGAGTCTGCTATCCCTGCTCACCGGCATACCCTACCACCACTTTAACTTTATGCACCGATGGCTCGGCTGGATCATCCTCATTCAGAGCTTGCTCCACACCATCGGTTGGTCCATCGTTCAAGGCCGCCTGTACCAACCTCAACCCAGCGTAGGAGCTGCTTGGATCAAGGAAACGTACATGGTGTGGGGAGTCGTAGCCATGATCCTGCTCACCATCCTCTTTCTGCTGAGCCTGCCCGTCGTCATTCGAAGGACGGGCCACGAATTCTTTCGAAAAGCTCACTACATCCTCGCCATGCTCTACATTGGCGCTTGCTGGGGTCACTGGGACAAGTTGAAATGCTTCCTCTTGCCATCTCTCCTCATCTGGGGCCTCGACAGAGGCGCAAGACTTGTTCGCACATTCTTGCTCCACCACGACTACATTTGCGCAGCGCACACCACTGCTCTCGCTCCCATCCAAGCCGACGTCACCTTTTTCGACTCTGACGAGGATGTGCCGGTGGTGAGGCTTGACTTGACGCATCAACAAGCACGCAACGCGCCCGGCGATCACTACTTTCTCACATTCTCCAGTCACGGCAGCATCTGGCAGTCGCATCCCTTCACCTCTTTCGTTCCGGCAGCTGCTGCGAGCCATGCCAAAAGTCATCAGGAGGCTGCCACCCACTCATTCATCATGCGCGCAAAGGGCGGAGAGACGCGCAAGGTGGCAAAAGCGCTGCTCAAAGAGCACAGCAGCAAGACGTCGTTGCTGCTCACCGGCCCTTACGGCAACGACATTACGAGCGACTTGGATGCTGCTCACAATGCACTCTGCCTCGCTGGAGGCACAGGCATCACTTTTGTGCTGCCCGTGCTGAGGGAACGCGTTCGGCGAGCCAAGGAAGCGCGATTGCTGCTCGCTGCGTCCGACAAGGCGTCGTTGGAGGATTGCAGAGTGGTGCGCACCGGCACCACCTCTCTCGTGTGGCTTGTCAGGCATCAGCGGGATGCCGCATGGGCGGAAGCAGAGCTCGCTGAGCTGAGGCAAAGCAAAATGGTCGAGGTGAAAATCATATCGACCAGAGACGGTCACGAGGCACGTGGCGAGAAACGCACTTGCGAAATCGACGACTCGAGCAAGGATTCCACTTCGGACAGGAGCAGTCCTCAATTGCCGGTGCAGTCGCTCGAGAAAGATGTGCCTGCCCACAACGAAAGTCCGCACACTGCCTCGTCGAGACCTAGCATCGACGCCTTGGTAGAGTCTTTCTTGAGCACAACGAGCAACGCGCCTAGCGTCGTCTACACCAGCGGTCCTGGCGACTTGATGCGGAGTGTGAGACGTGCAGTCGCCACGGCCAACAATGCTCGGCTTGCGTGGCGAGGTGAGGAGAGCAGGAACATCAAATTGATCTACGATGAGAGGCTCGAGTAAGGCCGCGCGCGCTTGCCCCACCTTTGAGCGCGGCATCGCATCACTCATCGCCGACCTCAGCTCGTGGGGCTATACGACGATGCGGATGATACTTCCGATGGCTTTGCATGGCTGTCCCTCTCCACTCGAGGCTTGTGTTTTTCGTGCCAGGCACCCGCAATCGCATCCGATGTGTTCTATGTAATCAGCACGCAGTCAAACCCCAATGGACGCCGTTCGTTCGGCAATGTCGATGCAAAGCGATGTGGGATGCAAATATATGGGATTTGTATTTGAGCGCACAGCCAGCGCATTTTGATTGTCACGACGATACGAGTGGCCCGAGGCGCCGGCTCTGCTTGAAAGCACTGATTTTGAGAAGAAGAGACGCTGCGTGGGAGCGTGCGTGATGTTCGTGGGCGCCAAAGCGCATTCCATGGCCCTCTCTGGTGCGATCCTGCACTCGCTTAGAAGTCGAGAAGGTCCAACGGAATGTTTGGTACCTGCGTCTGTGAGTGCGCCGGGAGCATCTGATGGATGAGGTCAGCGTAGTCCTCATGGTCGGCGGCACGCACGAACGAGCACGTTCGTCGCTCGCGTATCGGATCCGGACCCTTTTCTAATTGCTGAGTTGTTGCCGAGAGGGGGG